TATGTATGTATGTATGTATGTATGTATGTATGTATGTATGTATTTATGTGTGTATGTATGTATGTATGTATGTATGTATGTATGTATGTATGTATGTATGTATATGTATGTATGTATAATGTATGTATGTATGTATGTATGTATGCATGCATGCATGCATGTATGCATGCATGAATGCGTAGATGGGTGTACCGATATTTGTGTTGTAGCGAAAACACCTAACCCCTTGACCTGTTTCGCGCTCGACCTGGCCGCAATCACAGAAACGGTGTCAAGGTCAAGGCGTTCCGGCGCAAGAGCGACGGGAGGCTGCCCACGGACGACGACGAGCTGATGCTCCTGGCGAGATACCTGGTGCTGGTGGCGAAGCGAGACGGGCGGGAGGGGAAAGGCTGGGATGGACTCGATCACATGGACTGGAAGAGCGAGCTGAAAAGACTTGGGTAGGATGGGGGTCACTGCTGCTGCTGCTGCACTCCCCGCTGGCCTTCCTACGGGAAGAGGCTTCGGATAGCTTGCAGGGGGGCGCTGCTAATCGTTGTCTTACTTCACTAGAGGATAGCCCTGCAGAATGGTTCTGCTTCTCGGTGCGTCAGGACATGAGTTCGAGCGACCCTTCTTTTTTTTGCTGCCGCCTGGATAAGCGTGATAGATGGCCTTTGCTCTCCCTCCCTCTCGATTTTGGCTTGGACAAGCGCCCGGAGCGGGACCCCTATCCTCCTCATTCGGAGGGAGACGCTTCGAGAGACGCTGCTCTCTCTTTTTCCCGTCGTATGTGTCGTAGCCTGGACAAGCAGCCAGGGAAAGTGGGGGGGGGGACACAACAGGCTGCTACGTCGCTTGGGGGTGCCCTTCACGCGTAGTGGACGAGTGCACCGAAGGAGAGTGGGCACCCGTTACTGGCCACGTTGTCCTCGCACCCTGTGCAGTACGAGAAGGCTGCTAAGGACGCGAAAGCGGAAGCAGCTCGTGTTTCCCCAGTCCTGCCTGTGAGGCAGGGGGCGGCAGCAGTTGTGTGTGCTCTTGTTTGTGATGTCGTCCGTGGCATGTATGCAGGGAGGCTTATTTTTGTGGCTTGGCGCCATATCTTTTGAGTTGCTTGGCACGACTAGAGGAAGGTGGCCTAGCAACGCGCTTCATTCGACGCTAGAAAAGGTTCCGGTGACATGCCCGTGGAATCGACGTCGATGATCGTCCCGTTGCTGCCATCTATATTTGGGCCGCGTTTTCTCCTCTCTCTTAGCTCCGTTTTTCGGTCACTACTGTTGTTGTCGTTGTCGTTACTTGTGCCTCACCCTGGCGCTTATTTCACTAGTTCATATGTGCCGGGTTGTATCCACCTCAAAATCCGGCCCTGAAGGAGTCCGCAGGAAACGAGTTTGGCCCTCGTCGTTTTCTGGAGGTTATGTGCTCCCGCGCGTGTTGGTTGGGGTCCTAGATCTGGAGATTGTACAATGTGGGGAATGTTTGTGTGTCCCAGGAGTTTTGACGCCGCGCTTTTTTTTTACGGTGCCCCAGGTATCGGTGTTCGAACAGGGAGGGAGCACTGAAGGGGTGTGTTGCTTTGCGTGGTGTACTCAAAATTCTCGGCAGGGTCATGACGTCATACGGCACGGATTGGTCGCATAGTGTTTTTTCTTATCTTTCTTGTGTTGGAGGAGCATTAAGTGTGTGTGTTGTCGGTGTCGTTCTATTCGCTGTGCTGCTACAAGTTACGGGTTCAAGCGCTGTACCGACGACCGTTTGCCCCAGAAACCCTTGGGAGCGTGACATCTGTGACATGTACCCATTGCGTCCTCCTTGTGCACCGTGGTCGATCGATCAGTGTCCGTGTCACATCGCAGAGGCGACCGCCGTACCAAAATGCGTTTTTTTTCCGGAATGGCCCCTGAGACATCGAGGAGAGTTCGCCCTGAAAGAACCACCTTCCATCGAATGTATGGAATCTAGTTTCTCCGCAGACGGTGTATTGTTCCGATTTTTGTGGTCTGCGGAACGTGAAGAATGGACAGTACTGTTCGTGCCGTTTCGACGATACGTTCTCGAGTTGCGCCGCGTGTTTGCCGTTAGGTGCTGTGTTGTTATTTACGATGGCGTGCCTGCCCGAGACGAGATTGCTGGGGGATCGAAGCCGATTGTATGCGAGCGTTGTGACGGATGGCACGAAGTAGATTACAGCCTTTGTGAGGCGCGTTGCGTCTGCTAGACCTTTCAAGCCCGGACAGTGCGTTGTAGCAGGGGATTGGAGGAAAGCCAGCGGCGGCGGCAAGAAGGCGCGGGCAGTTCAGGGTTGTCGGTGTATGTGACGGCCCAAATGTTTCATGGATTCGTTGTCACGTTGTGTGTTGCTGCTGGCTTTGGCGTCTGCTTCTTGCGTGCCATGATTTTGTACAAACTAGTGGGGTCTATGTGTTTGCACGGTCGACGGCTAGGCCTTGTCGTTGGATGCTCCCGTGAGCAGTGGTTGGATCAAGGCGTGCGTTTTTTTCGACACTGGTACAGTTTAGCGTGGTGTCTTGAGCGCGTGTGGAGTGCCCTTCGGCAAGGTTGAGCTATTGTCGAGATGTCTCTTTGACATTGCGGCGGGGGAAGTGTTTCCGTCCGAGCGACCCCGGCGGACCCGGTTCGACATGCCTTTTTCTGGGCTTAGTGCAACCTTGGGATTGCCTCTCGCACGCCTGCCATCCCTCGCAGATCCGTAATTGGTTTGCCTGTTGATCTCCTTGTCAGGGGCCGGTTGCGTCACTTCGGCGGAGCAACATATTTGGAAGCTTGCAACGAGTGCCACCTCTTGTGAGAGGTTGCTGGTGTCCAAACCTTGATTTTAAAAAAAATTTCGCAACGGCTTTTTTTTTCGTCTTCCACAAACAAACCGCGTCCGCCTTGCTGCTTCTGCTGCTGCTGCTGCCGCGGCAGCGGCGACGGCGGCGACGGCGGCCAGTATCTATACGTGAGGGTACTACTTGCAGCTCTCGAAAGTACTCATTTTCACTACACCGTATCGCGATGATTTTGTTTTCCCCATATGTAGCATTTTCCACATTTTTCGGTTCAAAGTGCACCGGGTGCAACGAGCTGAGCTGACACAACATTGTCACGTACAAGACTGCGCGTGTCATGTGCTGGCTTACCGGTCCCGATGTTGTACTCACCGGTGCTACAAGCGCTGTTTGAACGCACCATTCACACCTTTATGCACTCGTCAACTGCTGTCTATTGAAACCTCTATGCCTACTGCTGTGCGGGCGCAGCTCCCTGTGGGGCTTACAGATGCTCGTCACAAGTGTAATCAGTCGACCAAATTTCCACGTGCACGTGCTTCGCGATCTTCACATATTGACAGTACCGAACCCAGGCAACACTACAGCAGGAGTTATCGTTTTGTTTTAGTAATTCATCCTTGTGTATTCTCTGCATATACTGCTGTCGTGATGCGTTGCTGCGGGCCGATCACGTACTGGTACGAGGCGAGACGGGTGCTGCGATGCCAAGATTATGGGCGCGTACGGACGCGACATTATGAACAACAACGGGGAACGACTTCTCGGACTGGC